AACCGATACTATAGGTCCGTCCTCCTCTAAAACTTCTTGCACGCCACACCTGCTCTGATGATGCCCTCGTCTTCTTTTCTGATGTCCGGCCAGACAATAATCCAGATGCGAAAATTCTTCAATATCTCAAGCGATTCCCGTGTTGTACAATTACTTTGGTCATCACACCGCATTTCACTCCATCTTTTTCCAGTGTTGCTGTGCTTAGGCGCCAGAAACGCCACTGGGCTTTGCTTCCTTGGTATTTGGCTCTTTTCCGTCAAAGACATCTCTAGCTTCACGGCTCTTAGCGCTTCGTCGTACATCTTCTGAACGTCATAGCATCCCACGGGTCTTCCTGATCCCGCTTTTACTACATATGAACCTCTGTGTTATACTCTTATCACAGGCGAGTAGCAGAGTCTTCTCTAAGGAGTTCTCATCTAGGCAAATCACTCCTTCATACTAAAATCTTATCTTCTCTTCAAGGTCCAAATCACTACGTCCGAGATACTCACTGCCGTTTACACTTTTCACAATGTGGCAACTGTTCTCTTCCGAACGCGTTGAGGGAATTTCACTCCGCTTATCTCATTCAGCTGCGAATTCATCAAACAACCTCCCCATGCACTCGTAGAGCAGGTGGCCCGGCTGCGACTCCTCGTTGATGTATGTATCTCTAAAACACAAATATGTTTTGGAACAAGCTGTCATAATGTTTGGTCTTCTCCCTCTTTGTCCTCTAGAGGTCACTGTGTGAATACGGTTGTTTGAAATTTCCGGTGGTACCACCCTTAACATGTCAAATTGAATCTTTATGAGGTCTGCGTTTTCTCCTATTCTAGTTATCATGGCGGACTTTTCATTGGTCTCCACGACTCTGAAAGGTCCTGCCCATTCGCAAGTCAACAGGGCGCGTAGTTTTCCCCTCTCTGCCGGGCATTTCATGTGCAGCCGATCTCCTACCTTTGGATAATTGACTTTTCCCACTGTGTTGCGCTTGTCGTACGCAATTTTCATTCTAGTGCGCTGCGCTTTGCGCTCATTGTAGGATCTTAACCGCTGCTGAACCTTTTGTAGTGACTACCGCTCTCAGCAGCGATAGAGCTTTCCTACCGGTGTTTTCCACAAAACATTTCTGACACTCTTTTGTCCGCTTTTGCATATCTTTCGCCATCCCTAGAGAGGAAACTCTTTTTTGAGCTAACTGAAAATCTTCTGGCTCCAAAGTGTCCTGCCAACACTCCTTTGTGTGATTCCCGCAACACTTCTTTCGAAACTTTTAGGCACGACGTATACATGCGGCCCTTTTTTTGAACATCGTTAGTTTTAGTTAGTTCTAGTCGCATATTCTGCCAGCGGGCAGCAATACAGAATTCTCTGCAAGCGCTCGGCGGATAAATTCTTTCAGCGAGCGTTCAGCGTTTAGCAGGCGCTCGGACTCCTTTTACGCAGTTTTCGGCATACCCCGAGCGAAGGTGAGACTCTACGTGGCAGAATGCCATCGATGGTTCAATTATCCGAATTTGGAATACCTTCTTTCAGCGGAAGGTACCCTGGATAGTGCGGTACTTTTCTTCCAGGAGGGCCTATAATACATCAGTTTTGTGAAATTTTTACAGCATATTACTTTTCCGCACCTGTATCGAGTAGTAATTCCATAGATTATCGTCTTTGTCACCTGTGCACACCTCCTATGCACACCCTTGTAACCCACTGTGATATAAAGAAATTGGAAACAGGTGGTAGCTTGCAGTACTTGTCCGGGTCCTTCTGCCTGAAATGCTTGCATGTTGCATTACCTTGGAATGTGTAAAGATGCACATACTCTTTCACTACAGAGCCGTCCTCCGTATCCACCTGGGCAAACACATTTTGAGCAATCTTGAGGGCTTGGGTATCCGCCATTGAGGCACTTTGGCAGAGGACTTGCACCGGATGGAAAGGTGGTAGTGGTGGTGACTGGAGTTGTGGTTCTGGGTGCGTGTGTGGTGGTAGTTGGGTTGTTGTAGTTTTGGTTGTGGTAGTATGGGTGTGGTAGTTGTGGTTGTGGCAGTCGTAGTTGGAGGTACAGTAGTGCCGAATAAGTCCCAACCCAAACCCGTTAACCAATCAGGGAGATAGTTCCACCAGTCGTTCCATCAGTTTGGGCCTGAAGGATTGCTGCCACCTTCGCCGCCTGAAAGAGGATGTACGTTTGAGCTTTCAATGTTACCACCGCCACCGGGATTTGAGCCGCCTTCCATGCCTGGCAGCGGAAAAGCGTTCGAGCCGCCACTATTGCTACCGCCATTGCCACCAATACCACTCATGAAGCGGGAGCCTGTGAGCCACGTAAGCCGAAGATTCCTCTCGAACCACTGAGACTGCTTTCGAATCTTGAATACACTTGTCGTTTGAGTCGTTCCTGCTCTGGTGAGCGTAATAACTGCTCGCAATTACCTATATTGATACTCACCAATCCAAACCTGCCTTTCTTTGAATAAAGCTGACATACCTAGACACCTGTACATTCTGTTTAGTAGCAGTTTGTCGTAGAAGGAGACGATGTGGTCCCAATGCATCAACATAACTAATGTCTTTGGGATACGTAGCGTATTTATCTTTTTGCTTTCCAAGCCCAGAAATCATCCAGCTGTAACAATGTTTTCAACTTTTCGTGCCGCAGCATTGTAGATCTCATATAGCTGCATAGTTCATTACGCTTCCATAATCAAAGGGACCCCATAGTGGTTATTTGTTCGGTTTGGTTTCCTTTCTGAACTGTTGGTGGTTAGCTTCCTAGAAGATTTTTCTTCAAAGCTGAGCAGAAAAAGAGAGAGAAAGTCCTCTTACCGGAATGTTTTCTAGGTTGATGACAAGGTATTCGTCTCCATCATGTCTTGCATGCGCATGCCACATTCCAAGCGTATGGCCGATCTCATGTGCAGCGGTACCAATCTGTACACATGTTACATAGTCCATTTATTCAGGTGCTAATTTTCTACTAATGAGATATCAACCAATAATTTTGGCAGCACAATGACTACTACTTGCATATTGCTATGTGAGATAAGGCGTACTTTTAGAAAAAGTGCTCTTAGTATCTCTTTCGCAAACAAATCCTGTCGCCTAGTCGATGCATTCTATTTGAAATATTATGCTATTCGAAAAAGCGCAAGATCGTTAAGGCCTGCGTTGCGAAGGCAGATGTAACTAAGAGTTTTTTGCAAGCTGGTTGTATACTACTTTTGCAAACGAAAATGCTATGGTCGCTGATGACTCCGGCGCCGACACTATTTTTTCGAAGTCATTTTTCTTTCTTCGAAGTCGACAAAAATATTCATAGTTGTACTGATCATTCTAGCCTACCAATGTTAAGCATATTTTTGAAAAGATGTATCAAATTCACGAAAATTGCGATGAACCACAAACCAAAGGTTGAAGTTTATTGAAAATTTCATATTTTTGAAACTCAATTGTTCTAATGTTAGATCACTACTCATGTCAAGCATATTTTTCTACTTGGAACGAACGAATGAGCTTTAGAATAAAATTTTCGATAAACCTCGACTTTTGATTTGTGGTTCATCGCAATTTTCGTGATTTTGATCGATCATTTTTCTAAAACAGATTTAACATTGCTAATTTAGATGATCAGTACAACTATGAATGTTTTGGTCGACTTCGAAGAAAGACAAATGACTTCGAAAAAAATAGTGTCGGCGTCGGGGGTTGTTAACGGCCATACAAGAAAACTTTAATATGGTCAATGCAGGCGGTCCTTAAAGTACGATGGTGGCCTGTATACCGGAAATAGAGTTTAAATGTATATGACCTCGTTTCATATTTTCACAAACCAAGGAATGATTGCGCAGCAATAAATTTGTTTGCTCTTTGCTTGTGACTTTCTGAATCAATAAAAGTACATACGAAAATACACATATACACATATAAATTAGCTAGAAAGCGGGCTTTGTTACAGCTCTGTCATTCAATATGTCTTGACAGTTATCGTTATCCTATTCGCAATCTTTCAAAGATTCTTCTATCGCTACTGGTGTGAATATTTTTGTGCATTAGCTTTGACTCATCAAGAAAAATGTATTTGAATTGACAATTTGGGCTACACTTGTGAATGAGATGTTACTCAATCTTCTAGCTATCTCCTATATTTCCATCAAAAGTGCAAAAAACCGATGAAGTGCGCAGACAACTTCTAAGCCATAGTTTAATTTACGATGATGTCCACTTACACACAGCTTCTATTATTCTTACAAGGGAAGGTTTCAAATTCAATCTGAGCTTTATATACTTGATGATAGCTCAAAACGCTTATTCCAAAGTGGCGACCCAACAACTGCGAACTATTTTCAAGTAAGTTAACTGCTTTTGTGGGAGAAAACTTACTTCTTTCCACTAATATCGTACGGTATCACCTTTTGAGTGTTTAGGTACTTACGTTAAGGTCCTTAACACCCAAAAACTTATTCTGAGTTATTCCGATATTCCAACCCCTTTTTCGGATAGCTACGTACATGTTGTTATTCCATATGAAGTAGCATGTTAATCACATGTAAAGAAGTGCATAATTTGCTTTTGACATAACAGCTAGGAACACCTTGAAGTAGTTTGAGCTAACTCCAAGTTTATATGTATAGAAGCCTTTGTTCGAAAAGCCAGGCTGAGTTGAGTGCTTTCCCTCGTTAGCTTTTATAGTAGTAAAAAAGCGCAAAATCTGATATTTAACCAACAGCCAGAGGTCTTATCGCGTGCCCGCTCAGAGGTATATCTTACATTAAAAGCAGTGCTTTCCATCATGGCTCCTGGCCATCAAGCTAAGTATCACGCAACTTCCAGGCCAACACATGATACTGATGGATTAAGGGGTATGAGTCATGGTTTGTCTGTTGGCCTATTGCACACAATAGTTTAAAAAGTATTTCCAAGAAGATAGAGCGAAGTTGTGAAACATCAAGTTTCGGTTACTTTGCTTTTATCTTTGTGTACTCAAATTCCTGTGCACAAAAATATCTTTCAGAATGAGGGTTAACCTGCTTCTCATACTAGTTAGCTACAGCGCAGCAGACAGTATCATTCAAAGGATTGATAAAGCACTGAGCGATGTGCCCACGGTGGGCTACTTATAATAAGTTGTTAATGATTTATCATACACTGTGCTAGACCCTGAACAAAGCTGAACTTCTTGCCAACTACGAGACAATTCACGCACATGAACCAGAGATTGAGCAGCAGCTTCAGCAGTCGCCACAGCAAGTGGAAACCTTGCATAGACTAGAGGAGGTAAGCTGTAAAATTTTCATAGTACACAAAAAATTGATTTCGCTAGTAAAAAGGGAAGAATTACAGGAAGTGAGACCGATACAACATAATGAATATGGGCTTGACACTATTGATTATATCAACAAACAATCACCCTTAGGAGATCTCTTGTATCAAAGTGACATAATTCTGAGCACGTGAGCATAAGCTTTCAATCAAACGTTTACTTTACTCCCATTTTCAAGTGAACAAGCGCGAAGGATTGCTGAGAGCGACACAATCGGTGAAGCGATTAGAAGAAAACGACAAGCGATTAACACCACAACATATGATCAGTTGTGGCCGAAAGGCAAAGTGCCCTACTCATTTTCCCTCGCAATAGGTAACCTCAGACTGTACAAAGTGCTCACAACGAGATTAAGAGTATTTAAGATCAGAGATTGAGGAGTGTTTTTTTCAAAGCGGCAATGCTTTGGCAGAAGGATAGTTGCGTTACTTTTTTTGAAGATCCTAAAAGTGAGGCGAAAAATACATTTTTTTCTAAATTCACGATCTTCCCCTTTAGATGAGGACCGAGTTGAAGTGGTACAGGGAGATGGATGTACTTCATATGTGGCAAGACTACCAAACGAAGTACAGCAGATATTTCTGGGAGACTCATGCAGATATGTGAGTAAATTTTGCAGTTTTGACGTAGCATTTTTCGTTTGCAAGTAGTATACAACCAGCTTACAAAAGAACTCTTAGTTACATCTACAGAGTAGATTTTCCGCTTAATATAGTGCACTTGCACAGAAGGTGAAATGCGGTAAAATTTGTGCGTGAAGAAGTAGCTTCGACTGTGGCGCCGGCAGATTGCGCGCGCAAAATGCCGGCAGAACTGACGTGGCTAACTGTTCACGCGCAAACTCACCGCATTTTCACCGCACTTATATACTGTGCAAGCACACTATATTAAACGGGAAATCTACACGACTGTACATTCGCAGCGCAGGCCTTAGCGATTTTACGTTTCTTCCAAAGGACCATGGGAGTAGAATGCATTGAATAGGAAACAGGATTTGTTTGCAGAAAAGGTACTAGGAGCACTTTTTATGAAAGCACGCCTCATCTGACTAACAGTCAATGTGCTGTCAAATTTATGGTGGATATCTCGTTAGTAGAAAATTAGCACCTGAATAAATGAACTATGTAACATGTTTACAGATTGGTACCGTTGCCCATGAGATCGGCCATACGCTTGGATTGTGGCATACGCATGCAAGACATGATCGAGACGAATACCTTGTCATCAACCTAGAAAACATTCCGGTAGGAGGACTTTTGCTCCCTTTTTCTGCTCAGCTTTGAAGAAAAATCTTTTAGAAAGCTGACCACAGTCAGTTCAGAAAGGAAACTACAAGAACAAGTGACAACCATGGGGTCCCCTTTGACTATGGAAGCATAATGAACTATGCAGCTAAAGGGTTTGGGATCTACAATGTTATGGCACGCAAAAGTTGAAAGCATCATTACAGCTGGATGATCCCTGGGCTTGAAAAGCAAAAAGATAAATACGCTATGTATCCCAAAGACGTTAATTATGTTGATACATTGGGATCACATTTCGTCTCCTTCTACGACAAACTGATACTAAACAGAATGTACAAGTGTCTAGGTATGCAGCTTTATTCGAATAAAGACAGGTTTGGATTGGCGAGTATTAATATAGGTAACTGCGAGCAGTTATTACGCTCACCAGAGCAGGAACGACTCAAACGACAAGTGTATTCAAGATTCGAGAGCAGTTTTAGTGGTTCGAGAGGAATCTCCGGCTTACGTGGCTCACAAGGCTCTCGCTTCATGAATAGTATTGGTGGCAATGGCGGTAGCAATACTGGCGGCTCGAACGCTGTTCCGCTGCCAGGCATGGAAGGCGGCTCAAACCCCGGTGGCGGTGGTATCATTGAGGGCTCAAACGTTCATCCTCTTCCAGGCAGCGAAGGTGGCAGCAATCCTTCAGGCCCAAACTGGTGGAACGACTGGTGGAACCATCTCCCTGATTGGTTAACGGGTTTGGGTTGGGACTTACCCGGGACTATTGTACCTCCAACTACGACTACCACAAAAACCACAACTACCACACCCACAACTACCACAACCAAAACTACCACACCCACAACTACCACAACCAAAACTACCACAACCACAACTACTACCACACAAGCACCCAGAACCACAACTCCAGTCACCACCACCACCACTTTTCCATCCGGTCCAAGTCCTCTGCCAAAGTGCCTCAATGGCGGATACCCAAGCCCTCAAGATTGCTCAAAATGTGTTTGCCCAGGTGGATACGGAGGACGGCTCTGTAATGAAAGAGTATGTGCATCTTTACATATTCTAAGATAATGCAACAAGCAAGCATTTCAGCCAGAAGGACCCGGACAAGTACTGCAAGCTACCACCAGTTTCCAAACTCTTTATATTACAGTGGGTTACAAGGATGTGCATAACACAGGTGACAAAGACGATTTTCTATGGAACTACTACTGGATACAGGTGCGGAAAGGCAATATCTTGCTGTAAAAATTTCACAAAACTGATGTAGTATAGGCCCCTCCCGGAAGAAAAATCGCAGTGCAAGTTAGCAGTTTTCCAGACAGAGTCTCTACTCCAGGGTGCTATTGGACGGGTATTGAGATAAAAGCGCAGAAAGATCAACGCATGACCGGATATAGGCATGCTGTATCAGTGCATTTACTACGCATAATATATTGTGCATTTCAGATTCTGCCATCCTTCTTGGTCAGGCAAGACATTTTACTCACAGAGTAATCTTGTACCTGTCATGGCGTACAGCAAAATTTGGCCAGTCAAATCAGTACTACAATATCGCATGAGTACGTTATTTGTATATAATTAACGTTTTTACAACATTATACTTTCACTATCTTTTTCAGTCTGATCGAAGGTCGACAACAGTAACTTTTCATTTTCAAGTTATAAACGAAAAAAGTCACTAAAACTTGTTTCTGCTATTTTTGTGTCAATGTGCACACTAAGCAAACATTACAAAAAGACAGGTATATGCAGTTAAGAACGACCGTGGATTTTAGGAAGGAAACATCAAGTTGTCCTCGTTGCTAGTATCTACGACTGATTTTCCTTGACTGATTTACCTTTTTTTTCACATAGTCAAGCCGTATGCCTAACTACTGCATGATTCCTGCACGATGAATCAGGCACTTGCTTTCTTTCGATATGATTTTCAGACTGAGTAAGATAGTGCTTGTAACGGTAGAGTAGATTCAAAACCTGCATTCATCGAAATAAGCGGTTTTTGTCCCGTAGAATCTTAGTTCGTGTATTAATGTAAACTTTTTTTTCCAGTTTTTCTCTGAACCATTTTTTTGTGCTCAAAACACTAAGTAAGTGAAATACGTTTATGCAAAAGCGTCGATAGTCTGCCTTGTGCCAACAGCCCTGTCTTATATGTTCGCTACTGCTTCCTCCAAACATAGTGGTTTCCGGCGGGATTACGTTTGACGGAAAGATCGCATTCATCCCGTGCAAAATGAAATATGGGCTTTCCCCGTGGAGTTGTGCAGAATCATGTTATACGCCATCAAGCAAAACGGCAAACTTACATCCCATTCCTTGGGCACGTTTGTAGACTTTCGCAGCATGAAAACGATGGTACCGTTTTGCCTCTCCGTGATTCCATTTTCTTTCGGGTTGTAACCCTTGGTGAAGAGCTGCTTCAGTACGGTAATTTTTGCTATCTCGTCCATGATTTTGTTCTCAAACTCACCTCCGCGATCAGACAGAATTGACTTCAACAGCAGCATCCATCTGCTGTCCACCTTCCGAAGATCACTTTTGCGCCGGTATCACCTTTCTTATCCGGAACTGGATAAGCTGCTGCATATTTGAAAAATTGATCGATGATAGTAACTGCGTACCTATTTGAACTTATTGCTTGCCTAGCTCCAGTATATCTACTCCAATAATCTCATACGGTTCTGTAGTGACTATCGGTCTCAGTGGCGGTGCAGCCTTCCAAACCTAACAAGGTGAGCATTCTTTTAGAGAGGTAAATAAAAATGAGATAAGGTATGAGAGTTGAAAAATTGAGAGCCACCACAGCCGAGTCCTGGCTACAGAGGTTATTTCGGTCTTCCATGATTTGATATCTATAACATCCTGGAAAAAGGTATTAATTTAGATTACCATACAATTGCAAAAGCAAAAGGATTAAACAGCTATGGTCATTATAAATACATTCATTGAAAAGTCACAAAGAATATCGTTCGGACACTTAAAATTACACACGTGCTCATGACGTTCTATCAGGTTGCTCCATAAGTTCGTAGAGTTTTAATAAATCAACAAAATGGCAAAATTTTAGCAAAATTAAGTCAATAATGCATGTTCCGTTGTTGCATACAACCTTCTGCCACCGTGCAGTCGAATTTTCAGTTCCGTTTTTCCGAAACTCAGCGGGTCTGGTCCCAGAAAAGTCGTCTAACCAGCGTCTGAGATGGTCTTCAGAATCAAAACAGACACCGTTCTTACGATTTGTGATAGAATGGAACAGAGGATAGTATGCTAGGGTGAGATATCAGGAGTACATTGGATACTAATGTACATCCCAGGCAAGTCTATAAAGACAGCTGTGACGAGGGGTTCTGCCGTAAGAGGCCAAGGTTTGTCACGAGGGAAACTCACTGGACCTGTTTATTGAGCCTTTACTGGGTAGGAGTTTGTTCAAACGGTGCAGTCGGGTTGCGTACGGCATGGGTGACCGTCTTGTTCTTGCCTAGCAATTTTTGATGCAGAATTTCCTGCCCATCCTGCAGAAAGTCTTGTTTAAAAGTCACCTTGTAAACTCTTGTTATTCGGCAATCCATTCCTTTTTTGTCTCATATTGATACAAAAAAACGCCACTCTCCATGATCGGCCAAAAAAATGCGCAAAATGCTTTTTTGATAAGAAAAAAATGAACAAGTACCGAAAATGATTCTTTTTGCCTCTTGAGAAACCTTTCTTTGGAAGCCAAAGAAGCGAAGCAAGTCAGCTTTCATTCGAATATAATTAGTTTATTTTGAAGCGTATGATCAGCTTTTCTCAATTATGTACTCATCTTGCCGCAATTCAACCGTTTTTCAAAGAGATGAGAACGAGAATTAAAACTCTACGAACTTATGAAACGACCTAATACTACGAAATTTGTCGTTAATCCTCTATAACAAAGGAAATTCCACTATCTATGAAGCAGATAAGGAAGAGTTAGTCTTTATTACAAATACATCGTTATATGTCTCCTCTCTCGACAAAGCTAGTTCAGATTACGGGATTATTTACAAAAAGTTATATTGAGTTGTCCCGAAAGTTTTGTCGTTTTTTTCAAACCGCTATAAAACTATGCACAATAAAGACCTGAATGAGTTTCAACATGCATTCGATGCAGCTTTTCGTTCTCTTTCTTAAGGTTACATTTCCAAGCCACATTTCTGTATGCTTTTTTGATAATTGTTACAATTCTTCACCCGTCATTTTTATCTGCTCAAAATTAGGTTAATTTTTAGAACTTTCATTCCATAGTTCCGGAGGTGATTTAGTATGGCTCAATAGAACAATTTTCGGACTCTAAGGTGGCATTTTTAAATTCTCCTAAACTGTTGTTTTTAGCTTCAAAAAATTTCTTCGGAGGTCTTGATTTTTGGCAAAGTCATAAAACACGAAATTGCAGCAAAAACAAGAAAGTTTTTGGAATTTCGGCGAATTGAAACTTGATTGCTGACAATCAATAATTATGCAACATAACCAAGTTTGATTTGCTTTGAAATCAGCTTTTTGGAATTTTCGGAACTTTACGTGGTAGACGTGATCAAAAAGCCGCGGTTTTTCTTAAATAAATAATCATAACTGACTTGATAAACGTGGCCCATATGATCTAAAATAAGCACAATGTAGCCAAAGATTTGCTCTACATATTTGTTACTACCGCTCTCTAAAAACTTCAGGATAAGAATTTTTTTAATTTAGAAAGGATTCGGCGTTACTGCTGAACTGGCCATAAAGCCATGGTGGTAACATGCAAAGACAGGGTAGATCAGAGAGCAAATATAGCTGTAAGAAAGAGGATTGGGATCTGAATCAAATGATACCTAGATCGCCCATGGATTAGCGTTCTGTGGGTTTCAGTGAGCGATAAAAAAACCGACAAAACTTTCGGGACAACCGAATAATTTTCCACTGTACTGTCTATAATAACGATAAAATTACTTATACAAAATCAACGGTCCCTAATTCAACGAATCATTTGCGAACATATTTCACTCTCTAAGTTTACGCATATATTAGGTTAGCACATAAGTTTCGCAACTTTTCCCATAACCTTCTCCTTAAATGTAGCACTCTTATTTATTTGGCATGCAAAAACTGACGCAATCTAAAAATTATCCCAATACACCGTAAAGCTACCGTGACCTTTGCATAAGGGTGCAAAATTCGGCAAAACTGTCCGTATTTGCAGTCTGCATCATAACCCTGTATCTCTGAAAATGAATGCGCTACGTTAAAAAAGACAAAAGTTGTGTAAAAAGTTGCATTATTTATGCCAACCTGATACAATTACGAATATGATAACATACTTATTATATATTGTATCCCAAAGCTACGTAGAAACCCACATCTAGATTTAATACAAGAGTTTATACTAGTAGTATAAACTGAACGCATTGCGGTAGAACTATTATACCTTTTAATACTAATCAAAGTACATAAAAAAAACTACACTACTACACTAAAACTACACTCGACAGTACGTAGAAGTAAACGCTGCCTACAAACGTGTGGGGCATTTCTAACATTTCTAATGATTTGACAGATTGACATAAAAATTGTTTTCAGCCGATTTCACCAGTATGTTTATTGAATTTCCTCACAAAATATAGTAGAAAACCTAAAAGAAATCATGAATTTGTTTTAAGAGTGCATATAAAAGACACTTGAAAATCAAAAAACCAACAACGTAACATATGGAGCGGCCACAATTCCTTCTCTTTTTGTATTTGTTTTAAAATTCCACTTCATCATTTTCAATTTTTGTTCACGATCACTTCAGCGCTGTAGTGATTAGCATGCCCCTATTGACTTAAGTTTTTTGATGAAACAAATCAGTAAGCTTTTTCTAAAATTACAACGACTGCATCCGAAGTACAACCTGAGATAATAGAGGGCTAGGAAAAGAAGACCGAACAAGGACCGGAAATCCAAAGAGAAAAGGCTAACAATAAGGCAGCCAACGGACTTACACTTTCGTGAACTGTTCGCCGAGCCCATTCAGTTGCTCCGATCGGATGACTAGAACAAAATAAAATTTTTTTCTTTGATAAAGTCAAAATACTAACTTCGCTGAATCAATCGCCGACAGGATCATCTTGTGGACACGTGAATGAAAGAGGAAGCAGGCAGCATCAAATGAGGTTAGACAAAACTTGTATCAGAGCAAAGGTTCGCCGCGTACGCTCTGACAAGAATGCGCTAGTCAAGGCAATCAACATGTGAATCAGCGGCGCGACCTTTCTCGCGTGTGCTTCACAGTTGCATATAATGCAACGCCGAGAAGTGGGCAACTGTATGTCAGCAATTTCACATTTATCGACAGGAAGGAAAACAATAATGATAATATGTAAATGC